GCACCACCCACATCCCCATGTGGTTCAGGTGACTGCACCACCCACATCCCCATGTGGTTCAGGTGACGGCACCACCCACATCCCCATGTGGTTCAGGTGACAGCACCACCCACATCCCCATGTGGTTCAGGTGACGGCACCACCCACATCCCCATGTGGTTCAGGTGACAGCATCACCCACATCCCCATGTGGTTCAGGTGACTGCACCACCCACATCCCCATGTGGTTCAGGTGACAGCACCACCCACATCCCCATGTGGTTCGCCTCTTGTTCATGTGGATGGAACTCAGGTTCTCCGCCATTATTCTAAATCTTTGGAACAGCCCTGGACTGAGTACTCGTATGCCGTATTGCTGCCGTATTACGGTCTTTATCAACTTGTTTGCAAGCTCAGCTCAGCTATTCTGTGCTAGCAATAACAGCATTTGTTCTCGCAAAATTAGTTCTGAATTGCTGTGACCGCTGGTAGGTAGTTGTAATACGTGGCGTTGAGACTGAGTCAAGTTCAAAATGACGGTATTCACTCGCAATGAGTTTTGGGTATAAATTTGATAGACTTAAAGTGTTTATCGATGTTGCGGATCAAGTACCTACGTGATCTCGGTTGACACAAATGTAAAATATATGGACCAAAATGTTGGTACGGATAATTTGTGTGCAGGCCGGAGGAGAGCAGCGGGGAGGAGGGCAACGAGGGCAATGCTGACGGTGCGTGGAAGTTCAACGGCGAGTACTGGAACAAGCGCGGGGACCCCGGCTTCGCGAATATGTCGTTCGAGTCGATCTTCGAGTGATCTTCGCGCCCGGATCTTCCGGAAGAACAGTCTTCCAAGATCCGGAATATACCAGGAACAATGCTCCGCGCTTCTGGCTTTGCACGACGGAAAGTTATCCGCGTTTCTGCTTCAGCAAGAAGGAAAGTGATCAGAGCGTCCGGGTCTGTTAAAAAGAAAGTAAAATCACAGTAATTTCGCTGAAATCTGATTACGAATTCTGACAATTCCACATTGATATAAATGTTATTTATCTGATTGATGTTTTGGTAAAAATTAGAGAAAAAAATGTACCTGCGGCTCGATGAGATCAACTGTTCATGGAATACATTGGCATCCATTCGATGCTTGTGACAATCGATGTTCATAACACTGAAACCGCACTTGGTTTGTATAGAGGGGTGAAATCATCAACATATGTATATGCATATTATTAAAATTTATATTTTACATTGTTACAGTGACGGTCTGATATCGCTCTGCGACGGATTCAATTCTTCGTGATAATTTAATGTTTACTGAGATGTCTCAACAGACCAAGTCTGCTTGTCGTTCCTCAGTCAGAGAAAACAGCATCTGCTGTTCTCAAATCCACGAAAGTATTAAGGTACATGCAGTTACTGCCCGTGTTGAAGTTGTTGCGTTGTTCAATTTTATAGTCTTTTTGAGAAATAGTGCGCTAAGCGAGACGTTAGCTCCTCTTTTCGTTGTTTTCGTGGTCGTTGTCGTGTCGCTGTGGAAATAATGAACTCGTGCATGTGTTGTTATTATGCCTTTAACAGGCTGCATTGCAGTCATGGAGGAGTTAGGGTACGCACACAGTGAAAGCAGGTTGCCAGCGTGCTGGTTACCTGCTCAGGCTGGCGCCTGAAACCATAGAATACAGAAGCCTATTCGTACAGGTTTTCACTGTGAACACTTACATTATTATCCTATTTTCATTCTTGAGGCAGGTTGGAGCAGGTTGCCCGCGCGGGCAAACCTGCTTCCACTGTGTGCGTACCCTTACTCCGTGCAGTATTGCTTATTATGTCGCGTACGAGTATTATTCGGCCACGCCAGTGTAGTTATTGCGCTTTTCAACTAACAAGGCTGCTCAAATTTAATGTAGCTCGTGTTCCGGCTTACATTCAAGAGCGGGTGTGCAGAATTATCACAGCTTGATCTGGAGTGTGTTGTATGAAAATTTATAATTAAATTATATTGAGTTCTCCATCACCTAAGAGTGCTCCATACGATGCGAAACATGGCGTGGGTTTCTTCTACCTTACATTTTCGAAATAATGAAGCTAGTTCGTTCAGTTATATTTGTTCACATGCATGTTCCTGACTGCTTAATTCCTGTGTAACCGGTCCCCAAAATCTGTCATCTAACCCTGGGATTATTCCTGCTTTCTTATCTTATCTTATCAGATCTGACGCCTTTTAAATTCGCAAAAGTGTGTAGTATGGAAACGTCGTGTAGAACAACATATATTCAGTTGGTGTTTCGCATGCCTAGCTGCTGCCCACGCGCTTCCATTCTCACGTTAAGGGTTCTGCTTGGCAGCAACTGTCATATTTCATTGCACTCAGCGAAGATGCGCACAGCTTAGCCCTTGTATTGCCTGTATGCAAGTCAAGAAGCATCGTTGCTGCAGCTATTCTGTTGGGATCCGCTCAATACAAACATGAGTACTCGATCAGCGGCGATCGAGTTTCTCTGTTATTCACTTTTTAGTTGTGCATCTCATTCTCGTGGATATTATGCTTCAAGATTTTGGTCTCCCCTTCGATAAGAGTTACGAATCAGCTAAAGAGCAGTGGAGAATGTCTTGTGATGCAACGCCGTATGCAATGTGAAATTCTCTATCGTTGGCTGATTTTTACTTTTCCTAAATGTAATTGCTGCAGGAGCATAGTTTATTAAAGATAACTTGGCAATTCAATGCTGTTGCTGATAAGAAAATGTATTTGTAGCTGTGGTTTGACAATTGGTCATGCAGGCGATAGTTATTATGTTCTCGATTATTGCAGCAGCTTTTGCTCAGGAAGAAATGTTGATCATGTGTGGATTCTTTTTCTCTTCATTTCGATACTATTTTTGTTATCGCAGCTAATTTTCTTGTCCACTGTTCTACCCTTATTACGTGTCACTGCCGGCTGTTCTATTCGTCAATTACCCCGTCTTGAAATTCGTTTGATCCTCTGCTCATCTGTGCGTGTTACCGTTGTTTGTGTCTGTCATGTTCTCTTCCATTGTAAACGTACTGTGTCATGTTCTCTTCCACTGTCATGTTCTCTTCCATTGTCATGTTCTCTTCCATCTGTCATTGTATAAAGTTAGCACTATTGTATGGAAAAACAAATTGAATGTTTTTGCCAATTCACCATAAAAGAAACTGTAGTACATGTGCTGACTTCGGCAGTTTAATTTGCGCCTGTCGTTCCTATTGATGTATGTATTGAATTTCAACCCTAAATTTACAGCTTATTGGAATAATTATTTTCTCGAATTTAATGCCTTACACCTGTACGCTAGAGATATTCTTGTAGGCGTATTGTTACATTGTAGTATCAATGGACGAAGTAATTCATTCAGTATCTAGCTAGAAATATTTCCGTACATAACAATATCAAAAACTAGATCAAAACTCGGTTATTTTCATCCTGTACCTTAACAACAAATGAAGCTCGGTGATGTTTTTTGAACCAACTCTCATGGTGTATAGTTTCTATCTTGAAAACTATCTTTTCCAAACTGTCGTCTACCAGGCATTCTATGTATTAGAGTCTTCTAGATACCAGTCTGGGAGGGAGACCATCTCGTTTAGGTAGGCCTTAGTTACTGTACTTGAACTGGACTCTTCTTTTGTATCAAGTCGTGTGTACGATATTAGTGTAGGATGTAACTGATGATACATCAAAGATGCTTGAAGAAATTCATAGGATTTTATCAATGATAATTGAACAAATAACAAATAATCGACGTTAGTGAGAGAATCTTGCTCTTGTTTAGGTTCTACAGTGATGTAACCTAAGGTCGTTCTGGTGCGCTTCCCTGAACTTTGAATTGTGTTACTGTGTGCGTTGAGCTCTGTTTGTTATTTCTATATTCGTCTTATGCTATTTGCACTAGCTATTATCATAGCCTCTAATTTTATCTGTGATTGTCACCATTCTGTTTCATCTGTGGTTACATATAACGGATTCCCGTAATCCTGGAATAAATTAGGATAATGTCCTTGCTGCAATTCGGCTTCATTCTCAACAAGGATTTGCATTGCTCAAGCCCTACTGCGTTATACATGTACCATTTGTTCGCCTGTATTACGTGTAGCCTGTGAACCTTGCTTCGTTGTTTAGTGCTTCTAAGAGGCTACAAATGTTTGGCTTCTGCGAGTTTCAGCGGAGAACACTAGACTATTGCTCATTTGCTGCATTGTTTCACTGAAGCAATTTTATTTACCTATAAATTTTTCTCCGACGACTGGAATTGTGTACGCTCGGATTAAAGTCTGGCTGTGGTGCTGAGGCGTCGCTCGCTTTTCACAGCATGCAGCTACATCGATTGCTCATACGCTACCAGCTTCTGTACAGGGGCATTGTAGTGTGGATTTGAGCATTGAAATTCGTATTGTATTATAGTTTGTGTCTGTATTGATGTGCTGGGAAACTGGTAAAAAATGTTCCTGGTCCATTAGTGACGTTGGGAATCTCGTCAAGTATTATTCTTCCCACAAGGTTTGATTATTTTACACGAGAAGACCTATAATATCTTTAAGCTCAACTCTTAATGCAATAGGGACAGCATTTTCTGAGACAATTATTCTTTGCTTCCTAAAAAGTATATAAATGATATATTTAATTGTGTATTAGAATAGCTCTTTGAAGAATTTAGTTTCATATAAGAATCAGCGATATAAATTTAGTTCTTCGTGGAGGAGACACAGTTTGTCTGTCATATTGGGGCTCCACTGTCTGCTAACTGAAATCGTAGCTAACATCGCTACTCCAGTGCACAAAAAATGCTCAATTGTATGTATCTGCGTAATTGAATGTCAATTCCGTCTTGCAAGTGTGAAAATAGCCGATTTGAAAACTAAATCTATGTGGTGAAATATTGCTAAAAAGAAAGCGCTTAAGTCCAAGTTTTGCTTCTAAAACACGCGTTCCAAATTGCTTAATTGCAAAAACAACAAATGTAATTTTTTTTCATGATTATGATGCATGCGAGATGATTCTCAATAGCTATTATTATAATAGAGTAACGGATTATTTCGAGTTGGAGGAATTAGATAGCTAATGTATTGTCGGTAGTTGTTTCGTAGAAGAAAATTAGTGATATGACTGCTAGTTGGTGTCCTGTCTTCTGTGTGTAGTCGGAGGTTGGCTAGATGACAATCTTGACGTGAAGACGACGTTGTGATATGCTTACCAATTTTGATGTTGACTGATTGGTTATCTCGAGTTTTGTAATAGTATCGATTTGGAGGAAGTGAAGCGTGTATCGAACTTTTGATCGTTGAATTGAACAGGATTGTGATCTAGCCTATTTCTGCACGTAGCTAGTGAATGTCGGCTGATAGTTAATAGGCAAATTTATTGATGCAATATGGTGCTTGGCATCGCGCATGTTATATTTTGTTTCAACGAATCTTTGCTTCTCGGAAGCATGTTCCTATGAGAGTGAGTTTGTGCTTGTGATTTGAAGTCAAAGTTTTTCGGAAATTTACACAGCTCAAAATAGGTGAAGGTTTATAGTGGTATTGCAAGATTGTATTGGATTTATGCGAAGCGTTGCATTTAACTCATGTGCTTAAAGCACATGATTTTCACTGCAGCCTAGAATATTAAAGATTTTTTTCTGGCTGCATATCGCGGAAATATGAAGAATTGTGGCAAATTTCATCACTAGCACGATGAACAGCGTTATCTTTGAATCTAGGCTTTATCGGGTGTGCTTGAATTTGAACAATTTAGATTTTTCTCAGTAAATATTATCTGCCAGCAACACCCACATTATAAGTGAGTCGTAATTTTCATGAAAATTTTTGACTTTCAATCACTGGATGAGCGACTCGCGTAGCCATTAGAACAGAGGTGGGCAAACTGTGGCTCTTCAAAGTTTCTTATGAACCTGGAGCCGTACTATCAGCATACGCTTACGTACACTTAGCATCTCATGTACACGTTGCGGCTGATTTCTCGTCTGTGATTGCTGGGTTGAGCTTGAAAAGCTGTCAGTGATTGGCTGTAGGAGTTACGAACTCTCATATATTCGTGATAGTGTGGCCACTGGACAAGATCGTATCACTTCACAATGTTAATTGAAACAAAACAACTGCATTGACACAAACAGTCAAGACAGTCTTATTTATTACAAACTGCTGCTGTGCTTCTCTCCAGGCAGAAATGTTACGTATATATGTCATGTTGCACCTTAGAATGTTGGATTTATGAATGAGGAACTATTGGTTGAAAATTTGCCCACCTCTGCAAGAGAAGATTTCTAGAGTGCTTAATGGAATATATTCGGTATAAGTAAGTGAAGAAATAACTATATATAACTAAACTAACTGCCTTATTTAGTCGCATAAGTTTTGCATGTAATCATATAACACTTAGCGCTTCGTATTCTTCTTTGATATGTCACCTTCAGTTAGGTTGCGGGCGTTAATATGGCCGTAAGAGATCTGAAGGCAATTCTACTGTATGAAGTTCAGATTTCCAAGTGCCCGCAAATAACAAGAAAAATATCTAACTTCCTAAAGAATTAAAATTTCATCATAAATTCATTTATTGAAGTTTTTTCAAGCTTCTTATGATGCCGTCTACAGTTAGCATTAGGTGTTCGCGTGGGATGTTGATATGTGTTTTAATTTTTGTTTTGCATGTGATGTCGCCTGACAAGGAATGTAGAATTTTATTGCAGTATTTAATGTACTTATAGTTTATCGCTGACTAGTTTCACAAATTCAGAATCACACATTTTCATTACTGTAGTTTTGTGATTGCGAACAAATATTTTATTTGTGTATAATTTATTGATCATATAATGCTTTTAATTATTTTGCTGTTTCTTGAGTTTTAATAATTCTATTACTCTTTGTTATGAATTGCTTAATATTAACGGTGCACTTACAGTGCTTTTGTTGTAGATGTTCGTGTTGACTATTCAAAGCGTCAACCAATTCCGTCGAATTATCACCAAAAATAGTGTTGAGAGCCACCGTGCTGACGGTGGGCTGGACGAATCTCGTCCGGGCAACGCTTCGTCTGTACCTGTGAGAGCGTTGCCTCTTTGTGCGTGGGTAGCCTTGGGGTGTTGTCTGCATTATTTGCAGACAACAAAAAATATTTTTACCCCAAATGTTTGCTGAAAAGGTTCCTTACCTGAATTCATATCCACGTTTAATTTGTATGCCTGCTAAATTTTAGCTTCTCGTATGGATAAATACTAGTAACCTGTGCAACTTCGCTATTCTGATGCGCTAAGGTGGTTTATCTGATATGTATATTTAGCGAATTATTTTGAGTTAAACTTGTCGATATAAGACTAGTTCAATTTTAGTTCTCAGCTGGCTTGCCTGGGCACTTATCTAGCAAAGTGTCACAGTTGGGAATTGCTACGACAATGCTAGGCCTGTTGAAATTACGTCCGTTATTGCATTTCTTGTTTTTCGTGCGAGCAAATTTTGGACCCATCATTTCCATCTTTGTTTATTACTTAAATATTCTCTAACTTTGCTTTCATGCCTATTAACCGCCATCTCAAAGTCTGCTAGGCGTGCGTTCTGAAATCCAGCTGCTGTGTATTGAAAACACAGTTGGCAGATCACTTTAAAAATTGTACATGTATAATCTCCCGTCTATAGCACCAATATCGTCCATGGCAATGTCGTTGGTGCTTCAAAAGATCTTGATTAGAAGAGGCGTATTTATTAGCCCAGGGTATTATTAGCCGTATTATCAAAACTTCGTAAGTACGCAAAATCGACTTACGAGTGGCGTTGCTATGACAACGTAATACTAGCGGTGGTATTATAAAAACATTTGCGCGGGAAAAAAATTCAGGCTTTTAGCTAAGACTTGCGTACGAAAGTTTTGATAATGCCAAAATTAGGGTGTATTTATGTACCACAGAACTTTTTTGTCGTAAGTACAAAAAGTTACGAAGCTTTGATAATCCGGCCCCTGGGTGTCCATGCCCCCTCGCAAGTCGCAATATTCATCACCTGCAAATATGTGCTCAGTCTCGCAATGACTCGCCAACATTCCACGTATTACTCAGGTTGTGCTATTTATATCATCGTTTTTGTCATGTTCATGGCAATGCTGTCGTGTTTACTGGCCTGCAAGCTGCGTTTTTATTAAATCGGTTGTGCAACATGTCGGTTTAGGCATTTTTTTAAATCTACAGAAAATTCATTATCAGGTCAGGCTAGCTTTTTCGGACCTGGTTGGTATTTCGTGTAGTTTCGTTGATCGTATATTTATTTATTTTGACTTCCTCATTATTTTACCTGAACATGATGACGGCAGTATGCTGACAACTGAGATTGAGCTAGCACATCTGTGTTACGTCATCATCAAAATAACTCGTAAATGTCAGTCTTCCGAATCAGGCATGAAACGATAGCGTTGACGTAACGATTTTAATGTTCTTCGTTTTTGATTCTCTCTATCGCAGGTCCTAATTTGTGTAAGAGAAACAACGTGTGTTAAATTTGCTTTGAATTAGTAATTTATACAGAAAATCTCTGGTTGCATATTGAATTGTTTTGATGACTTTTGACGAGTTTTTACATGTAATAAATGAAAAAATAAATATTGAGTGTACAAAATGCCTGACGCGAACCATATGGGAACAAGATGATAATACTTAGTGTTGAAGGATATGGCGTGGCCAATATTCTTATCGGTCTTCCCGTATTGTGAGAGCTGCGACTTACGCGTGACTTGCTCATCATAAAACCGTATGAATTGACTGCGATGAGGCGCTAGAGCTTTGCGTAGTGCGCGTTTATCCCTTGTACTTGAAATGAGCTTTGATTATCTTTCTATTACTATGATATTTTCAGAAAAATCGCGCCTTATTTTACATGCTTTGTGAGTCTTATATTTATGTGTACCATTTATTACTTTGAATATATTTCGATACATCATTTGAAGAGAAAATCGTTATTCATCATGAATAACATTTCTAACTATAGCTCCAATTTTGTAGGGTTTGCTACGTGCTTACGGGTTGCACATCATATTATGCGCCTTTATATCTGAGCAATAAAAGTGCAATCGATTGTATGTATGTACATGTGAACTTCATTTCAGCTTAGTTTGTGTTATAGTGCTCCTCGCTTTGCACTCGTCAGCTGTCCTATGGGTGTTATAGCGTTGGTAAGAGCATCGTTCCTAGACGTACCAATGCAGAGCCTGCTGTGTCCGACTGTTTGTCTCGGTTGAGGGGTTAGGTTTATATGTAGGCAGGACGCTTCGTATTCCGCTTTAGTCTGCCTCTTGTAGTCGGTCTTCGTCTTGTGTAGGCAAGTATCTTGTACAAGGAATATCTTTTCTTACGTTGCTGTTCACCTGTATTTTCTCAGCCTTTGTATTTTAAGGGATTATAACGCTTCTCCCTTGTCACCTCCTACTTCAATGCTCCGTTGCTTGAGGCCTCATGCTAGCGATTAGTGATTTTTGATTGGGAAATTTTCCCGATGATCGAGTCCTTTTGCCTGGTTGCCGAGGTTTATTTTGAGACTTTCGGCGCAATAACGCTGCATAGCTGATGAGTTAGTAAACCTTGTGTCCGTTATTCTGCTGCGTGCGCTTCGAATACTTATGCAGCCATTGAATGCGTTCCTACTTGCGAAACTGCTGCGACTGACTTTTCAAACCCGGACTGCCAGTTGCAACTATAACTACTATACCATAGTTTCAGGTAAACTCCGCAGCATTATCGCACCTAAAAATCGTATATTTGCGCCTGTTTTGATTTTTTGTATCGTTTTGCTGCAATTCAAATGTAAAATTATCGTGTTTCATAAGTAAGTTATCGCGGCAACATGACATCAAATTGCAGTACCTATTTAACCTAAGTGTATCTTTGCGTTGAGGCTTAATATATTAGAACTTGGGAAAGTTTTCTGTAGATTTTATTATTATTAATGCTATTATCGTTATTGCTTGGCTCCTGCTCTACCCTACCTGCTTGTTACTCTCCCTCAAGTTTCTCGAAAGCACGCGTACTATGTTATTTTCTCCTCGTAACGGGATTACGACGGGTGTTATGTTATTGGTTTCGGGTTAACTTGTATATCTGGGACCTATGATTGATAATAAATATTTCCTTTTAAAACATTTTATTCATCCTTTCAACCCATATCGTTTGTTCAATACTTAGTTGCAGTGTACAGGCCCTTTTTCGTCTCTTTTAGGAAGGCAGCGCGGCTAAAAACTCAGACCGCGTGCCTGACTGTAATTCTCTTTGTAGAACACTCTACTCATGACACGAAGACGTTTTGCGCATGTAGTTGATACAACTGCCTGGCTTGAAGTAGTTAATTTGCAGCGTATGTTGTCAAGTTTTTCTACTTGCTATTTTTATGCACGTAGTTTGCTGAGTGTTGGAAATGATAAAAAGAGTAGAAAACGTGACAGTTCATCAAGCTCCTGATACATGGGAACGCGCGGCCAGACAGGCCTCAAATTTCTGCAGGTGTCAGTCTGTGTGCGGCAATGGACGTGTAAGGTTGTGTCGCGTGCGTTCTCCTTGGGCAGCGAAATGCACCAAGTCGGGATTTATTCGTAAAATAATTTGTTTAATTGTCAAAGTGACCTGTACGTAATAAAGTGAGGTATACCTGAATAGATTAACTCAATCTGGGACGTGTAAAAGCTGTAACCTCGGATCTTACTAGGTGAGTTGACTGCCCCGAGTCCTAGCAAGTAACCGCGTAAGATCCCACAGCTGCTTAGCTCTTTCTTACAAGTGCGCGGGTCTTTCGCTTACAACATATGATAGTTGGTGCTTTTTCATGGCTTGCTCGTCTCTGGTTAATTCTTCCACCGATCTTATTGAAGTTTTCGACTTTAAAAAGTTTTGACTGTACTACAGTAACGAGACTTGGTCAAGTAATCAAGTTGACGTTAAATGCAATGTGTAGAGGCTGGACGCTGGAGATGATCAGAGACGGCGTTAATCTGCCCATGTGTTGCGCTCGAAATACTAAAGTAGGTAGTCTGTTTCTGATATTTAATGTTTTTAATTTGTTTAGATTAAGAAATAAATTAATATTCTATTTATTCGAAGTGCACTTACCATGGCATTGTAAGTTGTGTTGTGTAGCGCTCACATTCCCCGGTTTACCAACACAATGCTTCAAAGACCTGACAGTCCTGACTCAATTCAGCTTTTGTTACAGATTTGGTGCTAAGACGAACTTATCCTGACTTAAACCTGTTCCTCCTCTAACCCTGACATTTACTGCAGAATTCTGTCACTCTTGGCTACTACGTAAATGAACTGAGCAAACATTGTCGTGCGCGCTATTATGCGGAAAACGATTACTTTGGAATTGTGTGCACTGTGCATGTTATACTTCTCGAAAATATATTGCAACCCAAACAATTGAGTCCTAATAAGATGTCGAATTATATGTAACGCACCAGACGCAACTAAACACGTCAGAAGACTGGTGCGAACATGGACTGTTGGACACGACGGTTACAACTACTTTGATTCGAATCTGATAATCTCAACATATATAATATAAAAATATAAGTTGGAAATTTGTTATCAATACGTTTTTTTTATTTCAATTCTTGTGGGGCATGTCCTCGCCTTGATCATTACATTACCTTCGTTGATGTCACTGCGCTTGCTGTTTACTCCATTGCAAAACTCGGGTGAGAAGCTCATGTTGCTCTCTGGTTTTAGGCAGTTCGAAAGACAAACTATGCCACTCATGATCTTGGGAAATCCAAATCAATTTTTTTTGGTCCACAAAAATTGTCGCAGCGTTGCTTCTTTCTTGCTAGGTTTGTCTAATTTTTTTTCGGTTTGCTTGGCAAACGAAAATTAAAAGAATGACGGGGGTGTTTTAATCATAGATAATGGTGAAGGGAGTAGTTTTTTGGCCGTTGTATTACACGCGTTCTCAGAATTTATTTGTGTCAATTCGCTGTATTTATCATTTATAATTTGTATGTTGCTGCTTTATTAAAATTTTGGTGAGAGTTATGAACAGAAGATTTTTTTTTGCCATCAGATTAACGGAAACATTATATGTTCACATGATGGATTTTAGCAACTTAATACTAGAACTGTGTAGAATCGAGAGCAATCTTTGAATGTATTTCTATCTAACGGCTGAAAAGTCACTCATAGACGCTCCAAGATGAAACATCGAGTATTTGCTAAAACCTAATCTTGCACGCAACATCAGTTCTGTATTCCCACTATATAGTGTTATTTGCTCACTAGGCAGGCAAGATAATTCAGCATAGAATGCTTTTACGAGTTGAAATTTGAGGGTTAACAAATTTGTTTACGAATTAAAATCTGAAACGAAAGTTTTAACGATGGTTAGAATTTGACATGCGGTTTTTCGTCCGGCTGTATTCAAAGTGTCTAAATTCTCTGGCAATAAAAAATTTACCATTGGTTGCTATTATCTGTTTGAACTTCAACAGCCAAGTTTCGATCAGGTTCCATCTTCCAGCTGTTGGAGCTATGAAACTCTGACTTGATCCCAGTTTCATTTTCTAGCCGCCAGGACCCATAGGGTTAAGCAGTTAGCCAAGTAACAGGTTCTGGTGCATCATGAGCCGGTGACCTGCTGTTGAACTGGCCAGCGCTGCGTGGGCAGTCCGAGGAATAACGGACTTGCTGGACCGCTTTTAGCTTACTGATTTTTAGCGTATTTTCCCTTTTATGGAAAAATGCACTATTGTGCTCGCCATGTCCGTCTGTCTGTCTGTCTGTCCGTCTGTCCGTGACCTCAAGTTTTCGTCGACGAGAAAATGCGCTCTCTGTCACTCACTGCAGTGAGTACTGAGTTATATTTTTTGGTTTCTTGTACGATGTGTACTTTCTAGAATAAAATTTAACAATTACGTACAAAGAGACGCTTGATTTTTGAACCAACTAAAGAGATGTTCTATCAAAAATTAACGGCTATAGTTAAAGCGGTAAAATTGTTCTCGAATAAATCCTGTGTTAATATAACTTTCCCCGTGCAATCTCACGACTGCACGTGGTCTATGGTTACGGTTACATATCGTTGGTCGACGCCAGTTATTGTTGCTACTTCTGTACTTTCGCGACCGAAATAATTGGTCGTATTTGTGGGCGGCGATGCGAGTTGCTGGCGTATCCGTGCTATGCGTGCCTGTCGCAAGAGCGTGTGCTGCAGGGCTATCGTTACGAGGCTCCTTCATGGCTCAGCCGAGCTGGCGCGCTCCCTAACTTTTGGTTTCGTAGTCTGACTCATATGACAGTTTTTTTTGCTCGCAGAATATTAATACGGTCACTCGGCAGTTGCAGTTCATTCCCTCCTAACTGCTAGTCCCTCTAACTGCAACTCCCTCCTGGCGTGCTCCCTAACTTTTGGTTTCGTAGTCTGACTCATATGACAGTTTGTTTGCACGCCGAATATTAATACGGTCACTCGGCAGTTGCAGTTCATTCCCTCTCGTGATTTGATTTGAAACTAAATATTTTATATGGAGGAAATAATTGATAGCCTTATAATATTAGTGCTAGACTTAGCTATGCCGAAAATCTAAAAGTCCTTTAGTTTGATTCTGGTCCCCAATATCCCATACTGTGAGGTTCACCTCTTGTGGTTTGGGTCTTGAGATTTGTTCATTTACTTTATGATAATATCTGCAATTTTGGAACGAGTTGAAAATACCATATTGGTTTTGGGAATAGTAGGCACTGTGTCGAAAACAGATCGTGGATATCTTAGACCGAGGTTTTCGAAAATAAATCCATTACCGGTTTTCGAACACCCAGCCGCATGTGAAATCAAGCTTAGTCCGTGATCAGAATGTAATGCTGTGGGGGCTCATGCCGAGCGAGGAGCAGGCGAGCCAAGAACGCACGCGTGGGTGTGCTGTGGCAAGAACATTCTTGCTGGTTCAGCTCTCGTCTAATTTTAGACAACTCTGACCATCACAGCTCATTTTTGCTTGTGCGGTACTAACTTGTTGAATTCTGTGCCTGGATTTCCGTAAAAGCTATCCGTTTCAAGTTTTTGGTTTACAAATATCACGTGATCTTTTCAATAAGTGTTTAATGATGTTTCATGTTTGTATTTTTGATGTTTTCACTTTCTGCATCAGGTTAAAACGGAAAAAAATTGTTCCGCGATGATGTCAGTCATGCTCATTAGACCAGTAATTAACATTCATGGAAGACCCTTCCTGACCAACACATGAGCCCAAGCACAAGACCCTGAATGTATATCCTCGTTCGTCCGTGTGGAAGCTGTTGGGAGGGGCGAAGCTCTCGCTGCTTCTGGCTTCCTAAAATGGTCGCTGCCGGAGTAAGGCAATCCAGGGGAGAGAACACTGCCGGATGGCGGAAAGAACGGGCAATGGATTTGGAAATCATAATAATAATCAGGAGCAACACGGAGCTGTGCTTTTACGAATCCCAGGATGTGCTCGACACACCAGCATAAGAATGACTGAAATGTATGAAGCTTACAGTCTTGAGAGTTGAGACACTTAATACCGATTGTTAGCTCCCTGGAATATTCGATTTATGCTATTACTTTTCAAACATTAATTGAAAGTCGTTCAAATGTGCCCCTCTGTCCTTGGTGATCAATAGTTTAAGACTTTAAGCGAACAATTTTTCGCTAAAAACCTATACTATCAATAAATAAGGTACTAAAATTATATGTTCATTGTATTTCGAGATTTTTGTACTGTTGAGTATTTATACAAAACTGGTCGAATAGTGATGTGAACGGTGCTGTGGGCTCGAAATAATGTAAACCTAGTATTCCAAATGAGACATATATAGCTGCTCTTGCAAGGGAATTGCCCCCGCTTTCATTCCCATTCACTTATTACAAAGATTAAAAGTTAGGTTCGCAAGTCACTTCGAAATGAACACAATTGGATGCAAGGGCACTCGTCGGCATTCTCGTGCTTCATTTAACAACCAACGCTGGCTACCCTCTGCCTCTCTTCACCAATGAATCACCTAACCATGTCTTTGACTCAGTAACACATCAACTGGGGTGATACCTTGAATTACTGAAGCTTCATAGCTCGAGTCTTATATTTTCTATTGGCTAGTTGTAAACGAGAACCGCTTGATAAAATTAGCGACATTCAGCAGTGATGATCATTTTAATTCTTAAAATTTGATGATATTTATTCAATTTAATAAAGTGTAAATAAACTAAATGCACTATATCACTGAAAGTTCAATAGTTTAAATGCTTGGTATGTAAAAAAATTTTGGTTTAAGGGCTATCGACTAATGCCATATATTATGAATCCTTGACGTAGCTGGTCAATATTCAAGATATAAGCGAGTTATTTGCTGTGAAATTTTTTCCATTAAGAATAGATGTCGCTGCTACTACATAAGAACGATTTTCGAGGTCGATGAGTCTAGCTGAAGGATCGATCTAGTGGAAATAAAGGAAGCAAGGAGGTAATGTGATCTGAAGACTGGGCGAGGAGGAAGTGGGGCTTGTTGGCGTGAGAGAGTTTGGGGACGAATTCGGGGCGGGTCTCATAGCAGAGAACGATTGTAAATAGGAAGAGACATTGAATGGAAGTGCGGACTGCGGAGCGAGTTACAATCAAGTGGGTTAGTGAAGTGAGAGAATGTGAAGGAATTGAACTGTTGCAAAAATTGAAAAATTAGGTAATTTGTCATTGGAAGTATGAG